TGCTCACTGTTGAGGAAAATAAGCTCAAAGCCATTCCAGTAGTCGGGTTGGCACCTTTGTGTGAGAGTAGGAGTATAGATTTCCCTCACAGTCTCTGAAGAATTCAGTAAATGCAAAGTAATCTTTTCCTATATTCATACTTATTATTTCTGTGTATATACCACAGTTGTATTCACATTGTAAAAGACCACACCGTGAGCAGTTTAAGCTACTGTTTGATGTGAGCAAACAGAGACAGTGATAGTGATATATGAAATATTAATAGTCACGCCTAGTTTTGGCTGAATTTAGTGCTTTCTAATATTTTTGTTTGCGCCCCCTCTCTATGTCTCTATCTTATGTGTTTCTCAGAAGTAGCTGCTCTGAAAGCTAAAATATGTTGTATATGCGTGGGCAATTTCAAAAAGCTGTTGATAGGTTACAATAGCTTCTCATTCATTCATGTGGAATACATTCAGTTTGTATTTACACAGAAACACAGACCTTCTAAACTTATTAATATTTTTTATCCAACACTTGATATCAGTTTTGTCATGCAAGCTGCTGCAGTTAGCAGTTAGCATCAGCTTACTTCTAATGACATAATCTACAGTATGTATATGTGCATAAATGTTAATCAATAGACTTTTCTTATTGTAAGTCTTTTCGGTGTATTTGATCCCATTAGTGATAGTTGAATTCAGTTGAATATCAGCATTCCAGCCAAGGCTCTGATATTCAAGGTTCAAGGTTCTTTATTTGTCAAACGAACATAGCTACAGTGTAGTTATGTCGATTAAAATCTTGTGTCACAGGCTTCTCCAACAGTGCAACACAAAACGCAGATAAACAGAAAAATATAGTGCAAGTAAATAGTAAATACAAGAAGAAAAATAGTTTAAAAAAGTGAAATAGTGCAATAAGAGTCTAAGTAGCAGCCAGATGAATATTGTGGATGTTGTTTCAACAGTTCAGGTGTTTAACAGTCTTATTGCCTGTGGGATGAAACTGTCCCTGAGTCAGGTGGTTTTAGTCCGGATGCTGCGGTAACGCCTGCCAGACGGCAGCAGACAGAACAGTTTGTGGCTGGGGTCATGGGGGTCTTTTATAATCCTGAGGGCTTTCTTCCTGAGCCGCTGGGAGTAAAGGTCCTCCATGGATGGCAGCTCCGTCCTGTTGATGTGCTGTGCAGTTTTCACCACCCTCTGTAAAGCCTTACGGTTGAGGGCGGTGCAGCTGCCGTACCAGGCCGTGATGCAGCCCGTCAGGATACTCTCTATGGTGCACCTGTAGAAGTTGCAGAGTATCCTGGAGTCCATGTTGAACCTCCTCAGCCTGCGGAGGAAGAAGAGCCGCTGTCAAGCTTTTTTGGTGATGGTGGTGGTGTGAAGAGTCCATGTCAGGTTTTTTTTCCTGACAGTATGGTGACGTAACCATGCCCAGGTCCAAATGGACCAATCCGTGGAGCTTCTCACACACACACACACTCACTCAGCCTTATCTTTTCTCAGCTGCAGCTCCGTGGATTTCTCAGCCTGAACTCAGCCTGTGTGTGCTCAGGCTGAGTTCAGGTGAGTTTTGCGGTGTCTCGCTGTCTCGCAGACCCCACGCAGCAACCAGGAAACAACCCCAGTAATCCAGCTCACAGTGGCCGCTCCTCAAGCCTCAAAGGGCGCAGCAGCGAGCCCCGCAACGTCCCGCCAACACGGCATTCTCATTGGTTTTTCATTACTGGTGTCATTTTCTGGTTGCTAACGCCATTGTAACACATAGTCACTGATATTCTGCTGTAACGGTGGTGGACTCATTAGAACAGAGTGGGCGAGCTGACCAGAGCACAGTGGGCTCATAGGGAGGGAGGGGGGGCAGGAGCTCCAACAAGCCGTTTAGGACAGAGAGTGAATACACATACTATACAGAGATGCTGTATGAGAAACCAATGTGAGTTTGGAACATTGAACAATGTAAATCTATTCTAGTAGACCTCAACAATGGAATTATGATCAGTAGAAATGGCCATGTCATGGGACCTTTAAGTTAAATACAAACGAAGATGGTCAGCCCTGATTTCTACACAACAGCACAGTGTTGGTGAGAACTAAAGTATTTTTAATCTAAGCTGAATAATTAGCAAGTTAACAAATGCTGCTAGCATACATTTAAAAGCATTCATGCTAAATAACAAAAGGCTAACTAGCTAAGATTTGAGACAGCAATTAAACTGGGTTTTATATATATCCGTTTTACAACTGAACAAAACATACATTATGTGGTTTGTTACTGTGCAGCCTTTAAAAAGAAAAAGGTAGATGTAGATTAATAACAGCAGTTAGCTTCTTTTTATGTAATTTCACACCAATATTTTCCTTCTAAGAAACGTATAACTAACAACACTTACACATGTAAATAACACATTGTAAGCTACATTTTTTGTTTTTTGGTCATCTAAAACATAGACAAGTATGGTTTGCCCTTAAGATGTCTTTGTGTCATTTGTATGTGTGCACCCTTCCCATATGGACAGGAAGAGTGGACAGCTAAGCGTTGCTGGTGGAGGGAGAGGTGTGGAGAGGGTGGCAAGAGATTGAAATGAAATCGACAGCAGACAAGGCCGAAAAAAAAAAGGAGTGTACAGTCAGGGGTCATATACCAGCTTTCCAACCATGTTACGATATATATAAAAGATACATGCATTCGATGTAACGAGGGTTATCATACAACGGGGAAAAAGCCAACACACATCCCACCTGCCTTGGCCTCAGTATGTGTATCTTTAAAATACTGAGAATCCTCCCAGCACACTGTTGATGGTGTCCAGCAGGGGTTATTTACTGTACTGTAGGTTATAGAGTCTTTGTAGCTCTACCCCCGGGTCTTATCAGCTCTCCAGAGTGATATATCATCAATAAAACATGGTCACCCTAGCCCTGAGTTCCATGCTGTAAAGATGGTGTGCTGCCATAACGTTATATTTGTACACAGCTGCCATGATAGGATATCACATGGAGCTTCCACTGTATGCCGCCCGCACGTCTTTGTTTTCTCTGGTGTGGTCGCTGTGGCCTGGAAGAGGTGGAAAGGCATGACAGATTAACTTGGTTTGACTATCTATCTCTTCATTTGCTATCTTTGCCTCCTCGACTCACACACTCATTCACGTCCTAGTCTCCCCCCCCCCCCCCCCCCCCCCCTTGTGTTAGAGCCTGTTTGTTGATGTCAGAGCAGGCAGGGCAGCCGATAGCACTCGAGAGCCATCGGAGCCTTGTCAAAAATCCAGGATATTAGAAAAACAAGGCCTGGTAGAATAGTGTTCATTCCGCTGGCACCTTTTCTTCCTTAGCCTTCACCCACCACTGTGGGCAGTTTAGCTCTGTTTCAGCTCTTGTGCCTGGACTGTAGATCAAGAAAAATGTCTCCACTGCTAAGCAAAGTGTCCTGAGCTCCATCTGCTCTGGCAGGACTTCTCGCTCTCCTCTATGTGTTGGAACTGAAGAGGCTGCTTGTCACCTTGGCCATGAAATGGTAGCCAGCCCGCCAGTACGGAGGCAGCCTATCCTGGGCCACTTTGTTTATGGCTGGCAGTGATATATTGCAAGGGGACTCAGTGGGCGAAGGTGTAAATCTCCATCTCCTTACACTGGACATTAAAGTGAGCCATTGAACTTTATCTTCCTATGTCTTAGGTTCAATTTTCAAACAAACAATGCCATTAAACGCTTACCTTTTTTTAAAGTTCTCTTTGTTCCCTATGTTATTGCAAACTATATCGTACATTTCCCACTGTTTCATCAATAAACTATATAGGATTTAAACTGTTTCCTATTGAATTAATAATGCAAGGTTACATTGTGTTCCTTAAAAAAATGATGTGTCAAGGTTGTAGACCAAAAGGGTTTCTTTGTTTCTTTGCTTCATCCAATCAGTATTAATCAACTGTTGTCACATCACAAAAAATGCAGTTGTTGTGTTTACCAGGTCACTAACAAGAGGGCACCCTGGTCCGATACAAGTGTTTTTTGCAGTAGTTGCAGAAATTCCTTTGCGATAACAGCTCAACGTCCCTGAAATAATAATCTTGCTTTTCACAAGCTAATTGGATGCACCTCCACCCCAAATCGATCGTAACACCTACTATATACTTGGCTTAATATCTAACACCTGCCAAAGGCTCCTTTTTTTAATTAGGAATTTAACTTGTCAGGATGAATCAATACATCATGAAAATTATGCATTCTTATTCAAACTTTTTTTCATTTTTGAATCATCTATTGAACATTGGAAGGGATCCAAAAGAAGTACGAGCCTGGCTTGGTTCCCTTTTATTAAGCAGGGTATGAGGTATTCAGTGGTCCTCCTCTCAATCTATCACATTTATGATTCTGACAGTCACTGTGTGAAGTGTAAAGTCTTCCTGAACCTTCATAGGTTTCAGGACGTGGCAACAGGCACACAGTTAGGCCTACTATAATGTTTGAACTTTTTATTGAAATGTACCAAAAGTAATTATAAGTTTTTATATACAACTTGTGTATTCATGCCACTTGAATTCTGTGTTTATATAATTGGTGTTCTTTTCTTGTTTTATATAACTTATTATTGGTATTATTTGTCTTTGCTATGTTTGCTATGAAAACGTGTTTAATGGGATAATCTGGTATGTGGTACATGCAGTTAGTGAGAACATTTTTAGGAACCCAACATATTCTTTTTTTAAATAACTTTGAGTAGAAACAAGTGGAAAGTGAATGTCAAGAAGTTAGTTGAGAGCTTTTTTTGACTTGTTTTATAAAGAAAAGATCAGTACTGCCTTCTGATCATCCCTGGTTGTTTTGTGGAATAGCACTCTGGTAGACGTCTAATGCTATTTGCAGACTGTGCTTTTCTTTTTTACTCCCTGTGCTATTATATCTAATTTTGCCATAACTATCTTTCAGTGAGCAGGTGTACTCACATTTTATTTTTCCTTGCTCTTTGAACTAATCCATCTTTTTCTTTTCTCCCTTCGCTTTGTTCTTCTACAGGTGACTCATCTCCCGTCGGTAAGTTGACTTCTTTCTATACCTATTCCCCTTGCATATTCTTAAATATCGCCCCACTGCCATAGCAACTGAAAGGTTATAGCCCCTTTTTGTCATACATTGTAGATAGGCTGGTGTGAACAATAACAGGAAGACTCACACTCCAACACACCACTTATGATTTATTTTAATTGCAGTTGGTGTTTAAAATGATAATTATTTATGCCTTTCCCCCATCTCTCATTTTCAATCTTAACACATTGCTGTTATTCGATATTGCCCACTAAATTACCTTGTTTTTCCTGCACTGATTTCCTGATATTTCCTGTGAAATGACAAGATGCTTGGTCCGTGCTTTGCGAGTCTCATGGACTACATTGCTTTCAAATATTAATTTTGAAGCAATTGAGTTGTCAGTTTTGGTTATTATCAGGATCCGGGATTCAATAGTTGTTCCTTGGTCATTTTCAAGTTCATGAGAAAGTGACTCATGTATTGGCTGAGAATCAATGATTCAGAATGAGAGGTATTGATTTCAGTGAAAGCTTCCCATGTGCGTGGGGTTTCATGGTTTTCATTCTCCCATTATTTCTTCATCTGCCTCAGCGACTTTTAACTCAATACTTTCAACCTGTGTCGTTGAGTTCTACCCATTTTCACTACTATACAGTATGTGGATCGCTTGCTTTTAGCTATCTCTTCCACATTACACATAATTATAAATGACTTTCAACAACTTATGAGAGAAAAACAAAGCAATGGGCAAACTCCATTTCATTGTTTATGCTGTTGTGCTCCAGACCATTGAGTCATTTATTAACACAAACAGTGGCTCTGTCTGTAAATATGCTGACACACATGTCACAGTACACTAGCTTTCCATCAGCATTTCATTTGGAATCATCATTGGTGGAAAGCATGGGCCATAGGATGAATATTGGGATGAAAGTAGAGATGGACAAACTAATGGGACGTTTCAAAACCTCACATAAACAATGAGACAATGAGATGGGTAGAGTTGAAAACTCCAGCTCGCAGCACTTTGTAGCAGCACTTTAGTGATGTGTCAGTGTTATCGCTCGCATCCTAATAATTAGCTTTGTCTCACTGCAGTACCTACTATGCATTATAAACAAGCAATAGCAATCAGCAGAATGTCTAGCACGCAATGAGACAGTCTTTTTCACACAGTCATGGTTAAAATAAATCGAACCAATTCTACGATACATTTTTAAGCAAGTCTCCTTGTCCTTATATATGTAAATCCTTTTTATTTGTGTGTGTGTGAGTCTGCTCGTCTAGAGTTGTCCAATGAGTGTTCGGTCCAGAGGTCTGATGTCGTCTGAATACTAATGTGGGATTATGACTGTCTGTGGCAGCTTGGAAACTAGGTGGGCTCTGCAGGTTTGGTTAGGAACATGTTCACCCCTGGGATGCAGTGGAAATATGTTCAAATACCAGATCCATTTCTTACCACCCTGAAAACATTAAGATCCAGAGAGAAAGAGGAATACAAACTAATTACAATTTGATCTGGGGGCAGGTGCACATTAAGTTTAATCTGTATTACGACCAGTGGGCAATAAGAGACAGATATTCAGTTTTTTTCTGAGTCTATGAGTTCATCAGTGTTCTAGCATGTTGACATGTGTGTGCATGTTATGTAGACATTAGATTTTTTACCAGGAAATATTTGTATGCAAGTCTTCTTACATTTTCTGAGCATTTCAGCACTTTATTTTATTGTTTGTTATAAAACTTTGACAATGGGTCCTAAATATATGTGCTAAAAGTATAATATTTTCGATTTTCTACACAGTCTCTGTTTTTCTATTCACTGCCAGGTGGATGAGGCAAGTAGTAGCAGAGGTAATTGATGTCCCTTGGATGTAGAGGCAGGCAGGCACACTACAAACACAGATCCTTATCCTACTGCTGAATTCCATTCTGACTCCAGAAAATGGCATTGGCAGAGGCATAGACATATTTCTGTGCACATCTCTCGGTCTCTCTCAAAGCCTTGTTCTCTGCAGCTCAGATGATTAGCATCTCCCTTTCCCTTTTTTCTCCCTCCCTCCCTTGAATTCTAACCTCAGGCTAGACAGAGCCAGCCGAAGCCTCTTCAAGCCGATGCTGCTTTGGGATTGGTCTGATCACCACACATGGTACTAAGGATGCTCAGTGAACCACACATCTACAATTAGCATGAGTGAATAAGGGATTCAGGCTCTGTGTCTGGGGGTGGCACTTAATAACACGTTGTTCATATAATATTCACACAAAACCAATAACATGTATAAATACCTTATTGTTTTTTAGTCATAGTTATTTTCATACAACTCCCAAAGTCTAGCATTGCACATTTATTCACAGTTGGAAATTCATTATGTAAAGTTGCTTTATTCCAGGCTAATACAGGCATGACAGAACAGCCCCACAGTGAACATTGAAACGGTTCATAACTGTCCTAATTTGATATTAAAATGCTGCACTCTCAGGCAATTTTCCATTTGTTGGCAGCAACCTGGCTACCTAATTGAACAAGGCTTAAGCATCAGTCACAAATGTGAAAACCAAGACAATAAAACACTCTCTCTTTTCCCTGGAAACACAACCAGTACTTAAGTTATTTTCCCTGCCTGGTGATAAACAGCACGGGCTCAAAAGAGCATAACAAAATGGCTGATCCACAATAATGCTGCCGAGCCAGTGGCCACATTTACATACTAGAGTAGGGCGGTAATGAGATATCTACCTGAGATAATTACTACTCAAGGCGTCCAGCTCTTACCTCCTACCGCAGGGAACCAGTTTAACTCACTACAATTAAACGGCCACTCATTTGCTCGATTTGAGACGCCATTTATGCTTTCTTGTGCTCCACTGTGTCCTAACACAACCGTGGCTATAGATATAGGAAACTTGGACAAGCTAGATGAAAACATGGATATATAGATTAGAAAATGACACAGACTAGTAGAGGCAATAATTATGTGTGTCCCTACTAATCTACTCACTCCTGGCATTGATATGCATCTCACATTTGAACTAGATCTGATTAACTGGATTACATTTTCTACTTATCGCAAAAGGTATCTTTTCCTTATCAAAATGTTCTTCTTGTCGTGTACCTTTTTTAAACTGCCATTGGACAGTCTTTCTTGCTTGTTACTTATGAATATCCTGACTATTTAGATTTATTTTAGTTAGCTTTTAGGCAGTGTTTACTGTATTTCTTTTGGCAATTGTATGTTTTTGTTGTTGGTATACAGTATGTGGACTGGGAAATTAATACACAAAGTCTTCATTGTATTGTTACCATTTATTTCTGGTTTGGATAAAAGGTTTTTAGGTCATTAAAGGTGGGGTACGTTTGAGAAACCGGCTCGAGATACACTTTTTGTTATATTCCATGGAATGCTCTTAACATCCCGATAGCAATGAATATCTTAAGTGCTTTGACAAAAAATCCATAACAAAATATCATCTGTGGAAGCCGTAGTACTGTAAAAAGCACGACCAATCATTTTAGCCGGCCCGGCTAAAATAACTGGATGGCCTACCTGCCTGTCAGCCTTCCATCTGTGCACAAACTTATCTCGTGCCCTCATTGGTCATGTGCGCGTTCGTGTGTGTTGGAGGAGGGGCTCTGTAAGGAAGTGGCAGATTTTTTCCGGTTGTGTATTTTCAAATTCTATCGATCTCGAGCCGGTTTCTCCAAAATTACCTACCCCACCTTTAACATGTAGATATTTAGACTCTAAAGTGTCAGAACAGATGGTATAAAAAAGACATTTCATGTTTGTCTCTCGCAGTATATAAAACTATAACGGTCTGGCTCTATATGCAGTGAGACAATGGTGTGGCTTTGACATAAAATCATCAATCTTAATGACAAAAAAATCCTGTAACTGCTCTGCTGCCTTTCTACCCTTTTTTGGAGGGTTGAGGCATCCCTGACATGGCCATCACTCAAACCTACTGCTGTTATATGTTATCCTTGTCTTGTCGCAAACTAATAAATTAAACTGTAATATCTTGACTGCAGAGGAACTGCGGTGGATGTTATAAATGATGCCGTGCCGATAATGTGTGATCGTTGAGCTCAGTGTATTCAGCTGAGAGACGACACACTTGGAATAAGAGATGGAGGGCACCGCTAGATCTACATTGGTTCCAGCGTGTGAAGATTAACGGCGTCGGCTTCCGTTAGACTCAGAGTAATTGTTAAGACAGCGATGAACAGTCCATAGCTCTAATCCCCAAATCAAAGAGAAGTTGCGCAACATTCAGGTTTGATTTCCTTCACTCAAAAAAAACATGACTTAATCTTTCCTTCCTTTCAGAGATCACAGCGCAGAAGCTAGACTTACCTCCTGTATTTACTAATTAGTGAGAATGTGATTCAGGGTTCTTGAATTCACTTCCCACAGAACAGTACAAATAATGCAAGCTTTATGAAAGAAAAAGACAAAGGTGGTATTTCCAAGTGAGTCTGGAGATGTTTTAACATGCAGTAGGGTGTGACATATACAGCACTCTGTGAGGTAAAAATGAGAGGAAGAAAATTGTCTCGGAGTGTGACTACAAAGATAGATGTGTGTGGAGAAGAGAAACATATACAGAGATGAAAGGTTAAGGGAGAACAAAGCATGTCTAGTAGTGAGCATGGTTAAATAATTTTTTTTTTTATTGTGCATGCACTGTGCAAATGTACCCTAGGTAGAAGCTGTGGCATAATCCTGAGGGAGCAACACTATCAACAGACAAAGACTTGCATACAATTTATTCATCCAATTTGACCTGACAGCTAATTCCATTTTTTTATGAACACACATATGTCAATATCCCTTCATATTTCCTTCTTGGCTTCAATTCAAACAGTGTCCTTTGGTGTTTGTGTGGAGCCCAAGGTTGAGCATCATTACGGTGCTCGGCAGGCTCATTGCAGATCTATTAGGTTGATTTGACATGAGGTGGTAGAGAAAGCACTTGCTATGTGAGAAGAAAAAGGGCAGAGT